AATGATGGATACACGGATCGTGTTCAAATCAATACGCACGCAATGACTCTAAATAATAATGATCACGCCACCAAACACACATTCAGACTAAAGGAACCAGCCTGTTTGGAAAATGAGAGAAGTAGAAAGTACAGGTATTTGAGTTCAACATGTAAGAAGTAGAAAGTACAGGTATTTGAGTTCAACATGTAAGAAGTAGAAAGTACAGGTATTTGAGTTCAACATGTAAGAAGTAGAAAGTACAGGTATTTGAGTTCAACATGTAAGAAGTAGAAAGTACAGGTATTTGTGTTCAACATGTAAGAAGTAGAAAGTACAGGTATTTGGGTTCAACATGTAAGAAGTTAAAGTAAAAAGTTGTGGAGTAAAGTACTGATACCAGAAAAAAGTATAAGTATTTGTACACTACTTCCCACCTCTGTAAACGAGTTTCCTCCGTGTTTTCCCACCTTTACTTCTGCAAGGTTTGTTAACATGCAGTTAAATGGGAACGATTGTATGTTTTTTACAGATAGAGAGGATTTATGAGCACATCATGCCGTCCTGGAAGAAGCTGTTCAAGCAGAAGAAACTGTGAAGCGTTTTCTGTTCACTTCCCATCTCCAACACCAGGGGGCGACACTGTGCTCACACATGCCTGATTTCAAGCATTGAGTTAACGTATGTTTTGATCTCATAATAAATGAAGTTATTATGCAAGTCGTATTTTTAAATGTCTCTCTGTTTTATTAGAATTGTATATGTATTTTTTCATCTCTGCGGTTTTCATTGTATTTTCTTTTGTATAACAAGTGCATTTCTTCCAGCCCAATTAAACACATTTTATTAACAATAAATGATATTCATTCACACCTGAATTGTCAGTTATCATTGTAGTATTAAATAAAGGTGCACATTCCACTCATCAAACCCCCATAAATGTGTTATTTTAGTCCAAAAAGCTGTGAAATGTAAGCAGATATTACATTATGATTGATTTCTTCAGTTCAGACAAAATCATTTAATGTGATTTAGTGAGAATCTTTTAGTTGTGATGTTATTTCAGAGTCTCTGAGAGCCAGGAGATCAGGATCCTGTTGGTCTCTGCCGGACGCTCCATCTGGATCCAGTGTCCGCACTCCTCGATGTGTCCTCGCTTCAGGTCAGGGATCTGCATCGAAAAACAAATATGAATCACCCCTGGGGGGTTATAGGAAACAGGCCCCACACCTCACAGTCTCTGATGGTTATACGGTCTTTTTCTGTCCCTTTTGTGTCCCTTGGTGTGTCTATTGTGTCTCTTAGTGGGTCTCTTAGTGGGTCTCTTAGTGGGTCTTTTAGTGGGTCTCTTAGTGGGTCTCTTAGTGGGTCTCTTAGTGGGTCTTTTAGTGGGTCTCTTAGTGGGTCTCTTAGTGGGTCTCTTAGTGGGTCTCTTAGTGGGTCTTTTAGTGGGTCTCTTAGTGGGTCTTTTAGTGGGTCTCTTAGTGGGTCT